AACTCATCGGCGAAGTCCTTGGAGATAAGCCCACTTACACCGACACTTCATCGCCATTGTGTTGTCGCTCAATCTGAGGATATCATCATCACAGAGGCGTTGGCGAAAGGGCAAGGTTTGATACCGGAGGAATGTTTTGTCGAATCCCGAGACAGCAGTTGGTCGGGTGGTGGTGACTGAGTCAGATAGCCGGCACACCGAGATTTGGATCTGCGCTGTGCGTCGGAAGCACCCAGGCCGGCGGGCGCGCACAATCACCTTATTTGCAATAGTGTATTTCGGCGGTCCGACGGCCGAAAGTAATGAATCACTGTAAATGGTCCAAGTTGTGAAGAGGTTCCCACAAAATCGAGGAGACGAAATGCGATTCCAAAATCCGTAACACGCCGTCGAATCTGCCAGGGGAAGATCGCCAACTCTGCGAATCCCCTTATCTTCTGACTGGGGATTCGGGGGCCTCAAGAGCGTTTGCCGAGCGAGGGTCGAGCGCAACAGACTTTGCTGGCGTGAAATCTTGACAGGGATTAGATGATGGCGAGTTCCCAACCACCTCAGCTCCAAATTCCAGTGAGGGAGAGAAACAGTGGCGGAACTTTGTCGGTACTTGGAAGTTCCAGAAAGTTTCGGTGACTGGTGGTGTAGCTCGATGTTGCTCGTCGCTGGAAGTTGCAGGTCACGTGTGGTTCCAGAAGCCACCATCAGCATTTCCCCTGAGTCAAGGAGGAGTTAAGCACTCCCTAGAGCTGTGATACAGATGCATTAAGGACAGAAATGAGCGATGAGTTGTTCCTCGTTGCTCTATGCGTACCCGTTGACGCAGCTGGCGTTGCGTGTACTTTATGCGTCATCAGGGTGGACTCGGCAATGTTGACGAGGGCATCGCAGAAAACAAGGCACGTACGGATAGAAGCTAGCTAGTCGGGAAAGGTTTGGGTTAGAGGCTGTGGTTGAGAGGTCGTTGATCAAGACGGGTGGCTTGGCTAAGGTAAGGTTGCGGGTGCTTGTTTAGGGCCACACGAACGTCACGGTAAGGCGGTCGGGTGTTTCCAGGAGGAAACAGCCGGAGCTCTATCCGCCCGCAGTCAGCAGGAAGCTCAGGTCGGTTGTGAGGACGGCTTGGGAAGTGTCGACGTCGCTTCCCTGCCTCTCGTCTTCGATATGTATGACCAGTGGGAAAGGTGAGGCAGATCACCAGGACGGGGCAAGCGAAGGTGAGGAGGTTGAACCTTGTTTCCTGTCCCGGGGGGGCAGAGATCGAGGCAGTTGCTTCCGAGTGAGGTGGTCTTTGTTTGCGCTTCGATGGCCAAGGCTGCTTGCTGTCTCGTCCCATCGTTAATGCATCCGCTCGTCAACGGGCGCTGTCGTCGCACATTGTCGCCCGTTTCCCAATCCCCCACCCCTCGTCCCGTGTCTGCCAACGTCAGCTTTTCAGCCATCTCGCATGAGACGACCCTTCAATAGCCTGGTTCCCCGCGTCTCAACCGCATGCTGGCCTCAAAGTCAAGACCAGCCAGCTTCACCATTGTCAGACCGTCAGCGTCTATTCAGACAACTTGTGGAGCTCGGGGCAGCTTTTCCATCCAGCCCAGCCGGGGAACTCGGAGATGGACGGCGACTGCTGCTGCTCCGGCTTGCTTATCCTGATGGCTTGGTTGACGACTCGGATTCTCGGGATCGCATCACGGCGCACGACAAGCCATCGCAGTCGCGGCATCTCGCTCATGATACGATGAGCATGACAGCTGGATAATGTCGCAAGGTGACCACCTGGCCCCACGCCGCATATTTCTCATGCACTACGCAAATGCATTATCGCGAAAAGAGTTGCGAAGTGGTTGGCGTGGACCGCTTCCGGTTTGCCAGCGGCAGCAGCAACAGCAACAGCAACAGCAGCAGCAGCAGGCCAGCTGGCAGTAACTGGTCAATCACGTCGCGAAGCACGTTTGCATCTGATGTCTGGCCGTTGCTGTCTCGTGGGTGGAGGAAAGTGGTCTGCAATTAATAGATGGTGGGTGGTGTTGTGATTACGGTGTGGTGTGCTGCTGCCGGTGTGTGGCCGGCCGACCACAGCTCGACCCCCGGACCAGTGGCCGTTGGACACGCCAAAAGTACTGCCGTCGGATGAGGGAAAGTCGAGATGGAGAGCGTTGACCGGTGTGTGTCAGCGACTGCAGCTTGCCCTATCAAGCCCGCCGAGACCAACTCGGGACTACACACGTGAAGCCACAACCGCCAATAGAGCAAGCAACACGGTGCTTGATGGACGACGACAAGACACGAGAACGAGGCACTGACGGGCTGACAAGCCGGCCTGGCTTCCGCAGTTCCCGCCCGCGTCGGCGTCTTTGGGGTGCGACTACAGACGCCAATGCAGTCCGGATTGGCTCTGGCTCGTCCTGCTGCGTCTTTTTTCGTCGACACACATATCGTCCTTCTCCTCCTCTGCCCGGTGGGCCGCTTCGATCTTCAAGCAGACGGCTCTGATTGATGCGTCAAAGCGTACGTCGACAATCGCGCCATGACTTTTTTGATGCTCGACGAACCTACTGGAAACGGGAGGCATTTACGACGGATGGCGCAAGGGAATAGGGGTTTTGGGACGGCATGGGACGGGCGGGCGGCTTGTGATGGGATGGGATGGGAAATTCGGAACGCGCGCAGACAGGCAACGCAACGCAACGCAGGGCAGCGCAGGGCAGCGCAGAGACACCAAGCTTGATGGGACGAGCAAGTTCCGCGCGTGGTGCGGATGGCGGAGAAGATGAAGGGCTCGCAGAAAGCAAGCATTAGCCCGTCACGACTCGTCCAGCCTGCCGCCTTCTTTTCTTTTCTCTGCGTCCTTCTGGCTCGCTGCTGGCCCACGGCTGGCTTCGTTTTCCCGCCGAGCACGCTCAGGGTGCTGCACGGATGAGCTGGCGTTGCAGCCATAATCCCTCCTGGCCGGCACGACTAGGGGTTCCTCGCACCGCGATAGGCTCAGGGTCGTCGTCTGTATCCACCCGCGGCCCATGTCCAAGTCAGCAGAATCAAGGCGGAAGGCCCAGTCACCGCCAACTTCCACTCGGAACGGGCCTATGACAGGTGCAGTGAGCAGTCAGAACGAGGCCAGTTGGCTAGCGCCATGTAATAGCTCGAGGGCCTGCTGCGGCCATTGTGACGGCCGGCAGCAGCAACACGACACATTCAACGTGCATTCTCTGCCAGTCGGCCTGTGTTGGAGGGCGGGAGTCCAGACACTCTGGCCAGGGAAAGGACACGGCTTTCAATAAACACGGCGGCAGCGAAATGAGACTGATTGAGACGCGCGAGACGGGCTGGCGCTGGAAATGAGTGGTGGACAATCAAGACCAAATACGTATCCATACGTATCATTGCATGCTGCGCACGTATGTGATGGTGGTTTCTTGGCCTGGCACATCAAGCACATCCGCCCTGCAGAATGAAAGGTGCCAATGCTTCGGGAACAGGGATCATGAATGCCAGCAGGGCATGCGGCATGGCACGCACGACGTGGAGTCCACCCCGAATCCTCCCCTCCCCGACCGACCCCCTCGCAAACCTCATCTCGTTCGTTCGCTTCTGCTGTGCTCTCAGAAGCCTTCGTCGTCGTCCTGCAACATTAAAACCCGCTGACCCCCTCTCTCCCTGCCCAACGTCGTTTCTCTTCTCTTCTTGTCAGCCCAACCCGCAAGAACATTCCTGCCCAAGCATTCTGCCTACTGCAAAGCTGATCCTTTTGGCAACCCAACAGCCGCAAATTTCTCTTTTTCTACCCGCCTACATCCCTTCCAACCCTTACACAACAGCAACCCTACACAGAAGGTCAAAAAAGATCTTCCCCATCTTGCCACCCAAGGATCATCCCACACGACACCAACTCGACTTTCCCATTCCACAGGAACTCTGCAAGCAGCTACCCGCCCGGGTCATCGCTCTTGTTATTCTGTACACCGACACAGCTCATCCGAGTTGACTTTACTGCCCTGGATTGCATGATACACAACCCAAGGAATCAATGACTGCTCTTGTTGTTCCGCGCCCGGATATGCCTGGCTACAACCTTGACCTGGACGACGTCCACACACCTTCTAGGTATTGTCTTTTCTTTCTCTGTTCCCAGGGTGGTCCATTGTCTTTTTGAAATCCTGTACTGCAAAAGTCATGTTTGTTTCATTGCGTCTGCTTCTCAGATCTCGCCGGCCACGGAGGCCTTTTCATACAGGACATCTCGACCCAGGATTCTTCAGCCCAGGACTTCATCCGAGGATACTTGCCAGGACTTTCTCTCTCTTGCCCGGAAACTTCTTCCCTGGAATACCTGCTTGACTTGCCAACTGGATGGAGACCGGTGTGCTTGGGCCTCGCCCTATGCACTTTGTCAAACCGAACGGTCATCGCAAAAACAATTATCTATCATCACATTCATACCACGGTTAGTATCGCCTGCCGACGAATCAGGATTTTGCAGCAACATGGACCCATTGGACGTTTCGCGGGAACTGGATTTTTATGCCTGGCTTTCTCCCTTGAGAACCGTGGAATTTTTTACTCCCTGGATTTGTGGACAAGGTCTCGCCCGAGACTAGAGACTGCCCAGTCTCGCATTTGGATCGGATTCCTAGGATGAACGCTGAAATAAACACTCCGTGTTTGTTTTCCCGTGTACCAGTCATAGCTTAATTCAGCTCATGCTGGTCACAAACCGATATGGACCAAGGCTTATCGATCCTTGCACCTTATGGCTGGTTCCGTCTCTTCTGTTTATGGATTTCCCTTTGCTTCGATTCTGTTTCTGATCTACGGACTTGTTCTTCGACCCTGGCTTTCAGCCTTATGGACTTTGTCTCGACCCGTTGACGCATTCAAACGGACTTGTTACTTCAGCTGGACTTCAATCCAAGGATTCTATCGACCCAAGGAATTTAGCTGCACCAAACGACACCTTGGCATCAGGAACTGTTGAAATTACCAACTTCGACCTCCACTATGGGAAGTATGAGATGACCGAACCAAGACCCATGCCTGGGTGCCTGGAGAACAACCAGGAGCCTCGAACACGTACATGGCCGCAAAGGACTTTCATTTGTCTAAGACCTGCCGGACTACCAACTGGATCGACCACCGCACCTGACATCCTGGACTACATGATTCATCCCGGCTTGATCTATATGATCTGTGCTCACTTGGTCTGTCAACACGAAACCCCAAACCCGTGAGATAAAGCAACGACAGCTAACATGATGGGTGCTACAGGAACAAAGTTGTGCCATGTTGAGATGTTTTTTCATTTCTTGTTTTGCATCTTCAAAGATTAGTGGTGAAACAGCACACTAACCTCCCCTTCAGCGACTACAGCTTCTTCCACGCCGGCATGGTGCCCTCAGGAATGTTTTCCTTTTCTTCTCAAACAGGACCATCGGACCCCTTGAGTGGTTCGTGGGAAACGACAGGAGAAGGTGCACAGAACTTCCAAGACTTCTCAGACAACGGATCTGCCCACCCGGGAGACTCCGAGGACTTTTCTTTCCAAGTTGAAGGCCACATCACGCCCCGAGGACAAGGACAAGCCGTTGAGGACCTTCAGAGCAAGTGGACTGCTCGCGCGCCTGCCACGACCGTGGCGCCTGTCGGTGGCGAGCCGATGAGGCGGGGAACTTCAAGGAGTTCCACTGGAAGCCGCAAGCAACACAGAATCTCCAAGATCACATCTCCCAAGGCCAGACCCAGAATGACTTCTTCTGCGTCATCTCAAGTATCTGCACAGCTGTCCTCCATGGACATCACAGGTAATGCTACTGTCTACGGACCTCAGACCAACGGCCAGTTGATGGACGTGAACTCTTACTTCCTGGAATCGGACACGGGCGCCGTCTCGTCCCAGTGGTTTAACTCCATGGAGCTCGGAATCGTGGATGGCCTCCCATCCCAAACGGACATGACTATGCACGTCGTGCCTGCTCAGATGCAGCTGGACCCTGACTCCAGCCTTGGAGCTCACTCTCCTTCTGCCTCCTGGAACTCTTTCAGCCCCGCGGAATCCCAATTGTCTTCTCCTGCTCAGACCCCTGAGGAGTTGTGGCTGTCCGCCCCTCTCATGTCTTCGCCTTCCCACTCGGAGCACGTTTCTCCTATCATTCAGAGCCAGTCTCCTAGGTATGTTCCTCAGATCAGCTGCTCCCTCGAGCAAGCCTCTGACTCGGCATCAATCTACAGCGCCAACGGCAAGTTTGGCCCTGAGCTTATGGGCGATGAACTCTCTGGAAGCGTCCTCACTATCGTCGGTGATGCTGCTCTGCCTCCGGCTTTCCCTAGCCGCCGCAACACCAACGACGGTGACTCTGCCCGGGACCACCCTCTGTACAAGAACGCCACTCCTCAGGCCGATGGCCTGTTCCACTGCCCTTGGGAGGGAGAATCCAGCTGCAACCACAAGCCCGAGAAGCTCAAGTGCAACTATGAGTGAGTTGAACCTTTTTGGAAACCTGCCAGCATGTCCCTTTTCCCCGTGTATGACTAACGATTGCGTCTTTCCCCTCTACAGCAAGTTTGTCGACTCTCACCTGAAGCCCTACCGCTGCAAGATTGAGTCCTGCGAGAACGCCCGCTTCTCCTCCACTGCCTGCCTTCTCCGTCACGAGCGTGAGGCCCACGCCATGCACGGCCACGGTGACAAGCCCTTCTTGTGCTCCTATGATGGATGCGATCGTGCCATGCCTGGCAACGGATTCCCCCGCCAATGGAACCTCAAGGACCACATGCGCCGTGTCCACAATGACAACGGTGTTCCCGGATCTCCTACCACCGCTTCCAGCGGCCAGCAGGTCGCCAAGGGCCGCAAGCGCAAGGACGCGCCCAAGGCTGCCCCTGCCCCTGCCTCCCGCAAGGTCACTGCCAAGGCTGCCATCGTCGAGGCTGCCATCAAGGAGGAGCAGTCTACCAAGCCCCTCATTGACGAGTGGATGTCCCACCGCCAGGCCCTGGAGGATCTTGTCCGCGGCTTCACCCAGCCCGAGGATGTCAAGAACCTCCAGCTCATCAAGGATGCCCACAACCACCTCTCTGCCATGGGAAAGATCGGACAGACCCTGAGCCCCCAGCAGGCTCCCTTCCACGGAAACTTCGTCCAGGCCGGATGAATCAAAACACTTTTTGGTCCGTAAAAGCCCGTTACTATACACAACACAAGACGCAATCCACTGACCTGTGACGCTTACAGACATAAAATGTTACAACACTGGATTGCCATCAGCCACAGATGCAAGTGCATCGGGCTCGTCATCAACAGCGCGCCGATCCTCGTAGGGTGAGGATCGCCGCCGCTGCTTACTACCTGGAGATATCGGACTCTTCACGAGGGACTCGTGTGTCCACCATGAGATATACTTCATCGACCCCCTTTACGGACAAGCCACAAAGCCGGATGGACAGTGTTTACACAAGCCGCCAGGCTACGGATTTCCCAGGAGCATTGAAGCCATGGAACACACAGAAGGAGTACTCGCGAGCAAAGGATGATGCTCTGGTAAACGCCGAGCCGAGAATGGCGGAGAAAGAGAAAGACCGACACGATAGGACAGGTCGTCTGATTTTTTGGTTTTGCTGCTGCACAGTTTTGTTCAAGGATCGCATTAGAAGAGACATCAAAGTCATGTAAGAGCTCGCAGCTCGACACAACAGAAATTGTACTTTTGAAGACAACCCTCGCTTTGAGGGTAAAGTCCGACGAACAGCGTCGAGCTCGGGAAGGATACATTAGCAAGGACACACATATTTAGGAGGATATCATGTACAGAGACTAGAATTGTTCAAACCTTGAGAGAAAAAGGAGATTCAGAGAGCTAAAAAAAAAAATAAAAAAATCAAGAAAAGGGTGTCGAAAATCTATTTCTAGCCTTGCATCGTGATGTTCTCGCTCTTGACATGTCAGTCAGCCTTGGTAACAAAGTTATCGGCAATCAATAGTGGCACATGGGGTGCTATAGTCCGACTTACACATTGGCTTTCTTTAGTAAAACCTCATCCATGAGCATGGGACGATGTCGTGCAGCAGCAGCGTGTGAAAGGGCTTGCTTGCCCAGTCCGAGCTCCCAGGCTGTCTCCTGTGTCGACCACTGAGGTCTCTGCCTCCCCCTCCCCACGCTTCTGCTCTTCCCGTCTTCTTGCTGATCTCCTTCACAGGTGAGCATCTCTCGCCTGGCGGAGGTATCTGTACTTCCCTCCCCTTCCCTTCAGCCTGCAATCATGCCATCCCTACCAACACCACACCCTCGGACCAAATAGACCTTTTCCCATAAAAAGGGGTATCAGGGGCACGCAGCATGTTAATCGGGCCAACGTTCAGCAACCGTCGCCGTTATTTACCTTTGATTGGGGCCCTTCCGTTTTCCCCATCCTACACGCCGCGCAACTTTCTCGTCTCATCGAGATGGCGCGGCTACTGGGGTTGATGATGATGGCCCTTATCGTTCGCCGCTCGCCGCTGTGGGTGTCGGCGCCGTCCGTCAAATGGGGGTAAAATGGGGAGACGGGAAGTCTGCGTCCAGCTGAAGATGCACCCTCATTCAGCGCAGCCTTCCTACAGGCTCAATGAGAGAGGGCTGCTCTCAGTGAAGGTCATCTGCTTAGGCGGATTACGCGGTTGGAGATGGCTACGGATCGGACGTCTTGTCGGTGAATCTACCTCAATGTCGACCGTCCCACATTCGGTTTCCCTCATTAGCGGGGCCTCGAAGAAAGACATCTCGATGGCTTTTCCAACTATCAACAGCCATTTAGGAGTTTTAATCACATACCCGGTATCTAATCTGTTTTTCTTCTTTCTACAGATTGGGATGCGCTGCTGTTACTTCTCTGTTCTGGGAGGGGGTTGGAGAGTTTGTTGGCTGTCTGTTCAGCGATTCACACGACGTATGCTTCGGATGACGGCCCCCATCTTGGCTTGTGAAGAGGAGATGAAGACGGTTGGAGGCCGAGGTGACATGAGGAGAGAGGCACGCCACAATCACGCAGACACGAGATGATGGGAAAACAGAAACAGAGGAGAAAATGGGATTTTGGGCAAGTCAGTGATATTCGAAACAGCAGCGTCGTGTTTGTTCAGCAGAGAGAAGAGAGGAAGCACGAGATGCCAACAATCAACGGGGGGGAACGAGATCAGGCCAAACGGTCTAACGGAAGATGAGAATGCCTGAGCCATCTCGATGCTTTTGTGAGATGTGCGCTAGGTGGTGAGCGTATGCGGATGCCCGAAGATCAGAACAGACGGACGTTGAAGAACGGATGACTTTCTCTTCCCTCCTTGTCCCCCCTCCCCAGAAAGAGGGGTAAGAAGGAAACGGTGTAGGAGGAAGAGGGGGAGGCGACGACGGCAAGCGCGCGTGGAGGGGGACGGGTTTGGATTGTGTCAAGAGCGTCGTGAAGCGACGATCACTCAGATTACCTGATGATGACACTGGCTGATTCCCTTGTTGACATAAACATAGTCGTTGAAGTTGAATTTTGTTCATTTGGGTTTGCTGTAGTACGTTAGCTAGTTGGCCGTCTCCCCCCCGACTGACCCGGATCATCGAGGTTGAGAAGGCCCGATGCATGTTGGCAGTCAAGTTTATTCGCTGGGACTGGCAATGTTTCTGTCCGTGCTTGCGTTGGGTGCTGTCGCAGTCTGTGCCTGCAGTAGTGGCCAAGTCTATTTGTTGCATTGGTCGTCATCACCGCTTAGCAATGAGCGAAGTAGGGCAGATTTGGCTGTCTTATCTGCCCAGCTACGTCTGTGCCTGGCAGTAGTCTCGCAGATTCACTTTTTCAACCACTCTCTATTGCGGTATCGTCTTTCCTCCTTCGGGTTCTAATGCGTGTGGGTTTATGTCTTGGACTGCCTGTGCGCTGCGCAGTCAGCAAGTTGAGAGAACCCATCCCCTCTCAAGCTTCGATATTTGAAAAGGCGGCCATGGCGGCAGCGGGCAGGCATGCTTGGGAGGAGACTTGGCGGGCACGTGGGTGTGGACTGACTTGTGCACGACAGAGTGTAGCTCTGCAGCGGGACGTTGACGGGACTTTGGAGCTGCTTTGCAGTCACTCTTTGTTTAGTGAGCGGGACGGTTGCACGCCATCATGAAGCCACCTGCAGGGAGGGAAGGATTGACGGCTTGGATCGACATGGATGAAATAAGGATGTGGGGGAAGATGGAGAGCTTTCGATTGCGGCGAAAGAACGGGGCCGTTAAATCGGGATGGCTCCAGTGGATTGTGCTAAAGGAAGCTTATCCGCAGGTGGTGGCTTCGATAGAAGCAAGTCATGAGTTGGTAACAAGGAGTGGGTGGACGGGGGGACGGGTTCAACGGCCCCTCGTCCTGGAAGCATGTTTGTCGGCCGCCATCGGGACTACCCACCGACACGCATCTTTCCCGGTCTCCCCTCTCTCTGTCCTCTAACCGCGGGGCGGACAGCCCAACAGCGAAGAGCGAAAGGTTGATTCCCATTGGGGAGAAGACCGTCTGGGACCTGGGCCGGAGGTAGGATCAAGCTTTCCCAGAGTTCAGGCAATTTGAGATGTTTGGAGTGATTAGAGTTATCCAGAGTCAGACGTGGAAGAGATGGTAGGGCACAAGGACAGATTGGCAAAACCAACAGTGACTTTAACTACTACAGTCTGTTGTATATTATTGGTCGTAGACGTCGTGACGAAGGTTCGGGTCTGGCTCCCGAAAAGCTAAAATATATAAGAATGTACAAAAAAGGAAATGAGATGCAGGAACTGCCGCCTTTTTGCAATCCAGCAAACGGTGTGGGTGCGTATGGGTGTATCATAAGCTGCAAGGTGTAGCCGCCGTATCCCGTCTCATGAAGAAAAGAAAAAAAAGTAAACGCCGGCAGGACGGCGTAAGAAAGCCTCAAACCATGTTTGATGGGTCCCTCTTCCCGTCCGTCTGCTGCAGCAACACACACCACCACCTTCGCTCTCTGGCACACCGGAAAGAAGCTTCGCTGCCGAAATCAGCCCCCAAAAGTGCCGACGGACGGGTTTTTGGCGTGGCCTTTATTCACCGTGGCGCCGGTAAGGTTTCTCGTAGACGCCGCAAAGCTCTGGCGGTCGTAGGAGCTGTAACGGCCGGCTTCGAGGTCATCAATGCTCTGCCGGTAGTTGCTATCCGAATCATCCAGGTTTTGGCTGTGACGATCCGAGTCGTGAGCATACTCGGTGCTCAGGCGGTGTACGCTGTGAGGATCCGACGTACTCCTCGTGTGAAGGACTTTTGGTCTGCTGAAATTGTGTATTGTTGGAGCCGGGGCTGTTGGGGTGACTTGGTTCAGCGCGCGGTCTCTCCTGTCCGCGGGACTGAGGCTGGCTTCATCCAGCTGGATTTTGATGGTGTATACGGAATTCTTTTTCACAGCCGGCAATGGCTTATTTAATGTCGCTTCGCTGAAGCGCTTGACCGTCGTGGTTGGTGTTGATGTTTGGGAACCCATGGGTATGGCGTCCTCCAGATCCGAGTCGAAGGATAACTGGCTGCCCGCTTGGGAGCCCTTTGTTGCTTTGTCGGTAGGTAATGGTACGCTGGTAGGTTGTGACTTGCGAGACCTTGAGGCCAGCAACCTGGGAAGGTACCGGTTGAAGAATGGCTTGGTTGACGGGATGCTGGTGCAGATGATTCCAAGGAATAGCTCGAGTGATGACATGAGCCAGTTCATCCAGGCGTTCCAGGTAACATCCGGCTCCGTGGTCATGATCCACGTAAAGTAAGTGCGAGCTATGCCGGCGAAGCACGCCAGGAAACCGGCACCGAAAAGCAGGTTGACAATAACCATCTGCCTAGAAGAGAGTTTGTTCTTATAGACAATACGGACTAGAGCCAGTGGTAGCAGGACCACGGCGAAGTCGGTCGCGGTATTGATGATACTGGCAACGAGGAGGTGCGCTGCCTCGTTAATACAGTTTTGAGGCTCAGCTGAGAGCGTCCAATATTGAGAAAGAGGCCTACAGAGAGTCAGTCTTGTTGGCTGTGGGAAGCTGAAAGCCTACATACCGGCATTGCAGCATGGCCACCATCATAAACACAACGCAGTTGATGGAGATAAAGGCCCCTAGGCCGATGACCAGGAGACTGAACTTGCGAGAGGCTTCGTGTGCGATTC